GACAATCGTGGAGTCTGGTACTCATGAGACCCTCGTCCGAGAGCGACGCCACGACTGAAAGACTACGGTCGCGAAATGGCCAATCAAGGCCTGAAACCAGCCCGAATTCGCATGGGTATGGCGCGGCGATTCGGGTTATCCGAGGCGGATATGCCAACTCTACGCCAAGTGCAATGGTTCATCAGCCACTACACGAAGAAGACGCTCCACTGAAATGATGCCTACGACGAGATCCTGAGCCAGATCGACTAGCTGGCGTATGGACCCGACGTATCCGACACTTATCCTTTTCTTTTGGGTGGGAACGTGACGTCCGCGGGAAGCCGGATGTCGGCAACGGCTCTGACGAAAAAGCGTTCTTGGTGGGTTTAACAACGAAGCGCTTGCTGCATAATGCAGCCCGCGATCCCGGAACATTCGTGCTCCACATGGATGCCACCTTCAAGCTAAACCAAGTGGCGTATCCTGTCATCGTCTGTGGAGTGTCTGACAGATGTCGGTCCTTCCACTTGGTCGCTCTGTTCATCACTTCACAGCGATTGGAGAGGCTGTACGTGAAAGCGCTGTCATCGCTTCGGAAAGTGTTCACTGCTGTGACCAACCAACAGCTGCTGGTCAAGTACGTTATGGCAGATGCTAAAGCCGGGCAACAGAACGCCGTGAACCAAGTGTTCGGTGTGGATTCCGACTACGTATATCTCATGTCCTTCTACCACGTGATGGCCAAGGTTCATGAAAAGCTCAAGGGAAAACCGGACAGCTTGTGCGAGGGTGTGGTCGCGGATATCTACGACCTTCACTTTGCGTCTTCAAAGGAAGCGTATGACGAACAAATGCAGATTGTACTGGAGAAGTGGTCAAGCCAAGAGCAGTTGGCCGGGTTTCGGAGCTACTTCAACAACATTTGGATGAAGAGCGAGTTCTGGCGATGGCAGTGTTTCCACACACCACGTGGATATGCCACCACGAACAATCCGGTGGAACAGTTCAACCGCTTGATCAAACGTGATTACACACTTCGTACCAAGCACAAGATTGGTACCCTTCTCCAACTACTTGCGGACTGCTGTAGACATCAATTCGTTACGCCACGAACGTTCAAGGAAATGCCCGATGCCTCGCAACAGCTGAAAGCTCGAGTTAAAGATTTTCGTCAGCGCGACCTTCTCGTGGACATGACTTCAACGCGGAACAGCATCGAATTCTTGCTTGTTTCCCCCAACCCAGACGTTGTTCGTGTGCTGTCACGTGGTTGTCACCGCGTGTATCTGCCTGAGTTGGGCCGCAGTCGCGAAGTGGCACCTGTTTCAGCCCAGATGGGATCCAACTACGCGAGGATGGAGACAGAAGGTCAGCCTGAAGGTGGATGGAACGTTGATGTAACGGCCATGTCTTGTGGGTGTAAGTACCATTTCAAGTTTGCTGTATGCATTCATGTCCTATTGGCCCTACAGGTAAAGCACTACACCGGCTTAGACGGTAAACGGACGCTCGTCAACCGTTCGGTCTCAAGGAAGCGACGTCGAACGCGTACTAGTAGTGCACGAGTCCCAGCTGGTCGGCAACGGACTAATGGCCACGCACTCACCACTGATTGAGGATACATATAACTCAAACAGAACTATAAAAATTTACAATACATTGATTCTTCTTGTTTGCATTTCGTTTCATCCATTTCCATTGTGACTACTTTTGGATAAATCCCAGCTCTAAAAATATTAATAACCGAAAGCAACAGTCGCTTTGCTGCTTGTTTAAATGGATTTTTCGATTATCTCTTCGAAATGGGAAGTGCTAACGATGGCCAAGCTCCTCCCAACGCTTTCTTCGCGTTTTTTCGAATGGTGCCAAGGGCACCTCCGTCAACGTGGGTGGGGTCGCCTAGACGAGGCTGCCGCCCGCTATCTGAGGAACTGGGCCCTCATCCAGCGAGATGACACCTCAAGTCCCAGTGACCCAATCAAGCGGCTGCTTGATGCGGTACCGCAATCCCGTATCACCAAGGCTCGTCTCATTGAGGCGGCCACAAAAGGTGATGATGCCGGTGAGCAAGAGTGGGTGCTGCCTTCCGGCGTGGATCTTCGAGGTCTTCCAACATACCAGATGCGCACTATATTGGATGATCAACGGGTTAATGGGCGCGTGGTTTCCTGACGTCGTGGGAGCCAACATGGGGACCTGCGTCTAACCTGCCATCTAACGAGATAAAGAAATATCGCAAGCGTAAAAGGCGCAAAGTAGAGCGTGCTTACATTGAAGCGGAGGCTGAGGAAGACTAAGCAATTATGAGTAGCACAATAGTGGCTTAAAGCTAAGACCATTTAAGTTAAGAGATAGTCGAACCCTAGATCTTGGTGACCTTGCCTGATACAACTGCATTACCATTGCCACGCAGCCATCAGCTAGAGCGGTACAGGGTCTAGCCCATCAACTCGCCCCGCACAAGCCTTGCAGCAACGGGCCCACACGTCGTAGCCATTGATGATGCGCACTGTCCTTTGCGTTGCCGCTCGCAGTGTCCGTCGAGTTGTCGCTGCATGTAGTGTCCGTTGTATGTGGTGGTGGCGCCGCCGAGCCAGCCCTGCAGCGGCCGTGGTACGCCGCGCCTTGATAATTGAATTATGTGCTCTTGCCCCCGCAAATTGATTTGTGAGGAAGCTGGAAGGTGGGGCTGGCTGTCACTGACCGTATCAGCCAATGGCTGGGCCGCGGGATGGATTGG